TCTAATAGAATATTATTGTCTAGTAGTTTGAAAAGGTGTTACAGTTTTTAAATTAAATTTCGTTGAAACATAGTCTTGCTTTCATTCCAAGGAAATCTGTGTACGTATAAGCCATCGGTGATCGACATTTTATTACAACTGGAAAGAGATGAAAGATCAATTTTACATAACATATGACCATACCGATTCAAACCTTATCATTAGATAAAAATATGATGTGAATTAATATAAAATATATGGAATTAACTGGAAAAAACTATGTAAAGTAGAAATTCCTTTTAACAATCTTATAGATACTAAAATTATACATTTAAATATCACGTTTGCAACATTAAAAAATGTATCATTTACATGAAATATAATGTAATATCTAAATAATTGTATTATTGCTTATAATATTTTATTAAAATTAAATGCTGTGAAATAATATTTATTAAATTTACATAAAATATATTTTTATATTTTGTCTAATTATTACAAATATGTTAAAATGAATAATTATTTAATTCATTAAGTTCAAAATACATATTTTATATTTTAAGTAAAACAAAGAATATATTGGTTAAATCATTATGGGTTTTTTTTTGTATATATATATATACAGTTATCACCAGAAGGACTACTCAAATCATCACCAAATAAAAATCAAAAGATAGAAATAGATTTTGATTGATCTTGGAGAGGAATGTCATTTTTTTGAATTTCAAAACAATTTTTTAAATGATTGAGGAAAATGAAGATAACATCGAAAAAAAATAATAAAATCAATATTATTGAACAATAATATTTCTAGAGAAATGACATTTTTACTGAATGCTCATACCACCGTTTGCCGTAGATGGTTATAGTTTCAAAAGATTTTTTTCTAGCTATTTATTGAAAAATAAAATATTCATGTTTTAATAACCTTTTTTTTCTGAAAATGTTGATAAGATAATTTTGATTTCATAAAGAGTCTTGAGCTTAGTTAAAAAAAAAAAAAATTATGAGCGTTTAAGTATTATGTTTTAACAAAACTATCAATCAAAGAAATCCATAACATTCATGTAATTAAAAACTTGTAAAACTTTTAATTTTTATATACAATACCCGAGAACTGGAATTTTCATATGATTTTCTTTTAAGCCAAATAAATAAAAATTTATACTAAAAAGTCATAAAAATGTTTAATAAGGATAACAAAATAAAAATTGAAGATATCGGATATTTCAAGGAGTTTCATTAAAACGATATTTCTTATTTAGTTGTTATCCTATTAATATTAATCAAAGCTATTTAAAATATTTGTTGAGTACTTATATTAGCATTTTTAAGACATTTTGTAGTTCTGAAATATTTTAATGAAACTTTTGATGTTTATAGACTCATGCAATTTTCGATTTTCCCAAATTTTAAGCGTTTTTTCTTCTTTTTTATTGTTAGAACATTAAAATTTCAAGTTACCTTCTTTAAAAATTTGAAAAAAAAAATTTAAAAATTCTACTGCTACATCAAACATCTTTAGAAATATAAACTGATCCATTGAAACTCTTTCACTCGGATTCGTTTTTTCGAAAGCAATAGTACATTGATTTCAAGTTTAATAAACTAATACAGTAATACATTCAGCCAAATTTAATTCGAACTAGGATATTTTAAAATTATTCTGAATTGTTATGTGTACAAAATATACATAAACATATACATATTTATAAATATGTATAAACTTGATACATTTATTTTGCCAACTGAGCAAACAACTCGTATTGATAATTTTAATTTTATTCATCTATATTTAATTTTACTTGTATCAATAGGTATTTTTGGTGTTAACAAATCAACAGAGACAAAAACTACCTTTATGGAAAATCAGAAGTAAAAATTTAAAAATATATAATAATTCATAAAAAGTTTTTGTTAAATATAACAATGTGCTTCAATAAAAAAATAAATTTTTCGATGTACACGTATTATTATTTTTATTTCGTTATTGTTATTTTTTAAAATACACATTTAATCAACATAAAACAATTTTTTTACAATAATTTCAAAGTCTTTTCGCTGCGCCTATAGCTAATTAATTTTTTTTAACTGTTGATATGTACTTCATCATTTTTTTTTCACATGGTTTAATTCCACTCTTTATAACGAATTCGGTGCAAATTTTTTTTTTTTTTAAATTCGTATCTAATTGAAATCTCACTGCTTATTTATTGAAAATAATTTAATAATAACGAGTTTACTAGGTAAGCACACAGGCGCGTTTTCAATCGATGTAACATAATATATTACAATACACGTATTTATCGTACAAGTGCCTCTCAGCTCAATACGTGAATATCGACAAAAAAATTTGAAAAAATGCTTACACATTTTGCAAATACACTTGCACGGTTTGAAAATCCAATAGATATGTCGTATTAAATTGATCTTTATCTTCAACCTTCGAATTTTAATTTCATTATTTTCGAAAAACTGCATTTCACTCGTAAACTTTGGGGTTTATATTGATGTTTTAAAAATATAATTTATAAAATTGTGTAGATGGATACAACGAAACATAGAATACCTACTAGGTTTTTTTCTCCTTTCTTTTCTTAGAATAATTTAACTGTCGATTGATTGTCGCACATGCCGCAGAACACGAGAACTTGAATATGAGCGCCGGACGCCAACGAGTAGAAGAGAGCGGCGAGTGAAGTAAGTTTCTTCGGTTGGCATTTATATTTCACGCCAAACACAACACATACTTACCGGCTGCGGCAGAACTAATATTTTGCTGGAATCACGCGCATTGTATATAAATATCTTACCGCGGCAATAACGTAATTTCCTGCACGCCAACTGCGTGTAGGTTGAATTCGGTTTCGTATTTTTCCAAACGTGTAAATACACGTGCCTGTTACACGCGACGACCGATCGTGAACAAAATCGAGAATACGGATTAGACGATTATGATTAGACGAATCGCAACAACAGTGTTGGATATTTGACCGTTACACTGGTTGTTTGCGTTTACGATTAATTTCGCGTTACGACGCCAATACGTAAGTGACCGTGTATGCTTACTGTTGGGCTCTGTGGCGTATTTGCAGGGCGCACGAGGATATAGATCCCATCTTGAGTTTTTTTTTTTCGTTCTTCGAATATTTTTCGATTATAGTACTTCTTTTGCCTCTTATGAATGTTTGAAATTCTTAAAGAATAACGGGCGAGTAAATATTTTAAGTTTACTTTTTTTTTGTTTCGATTGAACTACGAAAAAGATAAAAATGCGAATGTTGTAACCAAAGTAGCCACTAATTAGATATCTTTCCGAGGAAAAATATTAAATACGACTCAGAGCAGGCCGTCGTACTGACACTTGACATCAGCCTTTGGCTGATATACGTCTGGTGCGCACGCTGACGAGGTGACAAACCATACGGGTTCACCAAAAAAAAAAAAAAAAAAAAACGCACGAATATGAATAGTTTGAGAAAAAATAACGTTATAACAATGTTTATCACACGGCATTGTGGAACTTTCTACAAAAATTAATTATGTAAATTTATATTATTTATAAAAATGCGTTATTAACAGCACACATCCAAAACCAACTTTGAAAAGTAACGGTGTACCATTGCGACATACCGTATTGGAAAGGAAACATTCACGAGGGGTTAGAAATTTAAAAATGGTCAACACTACAACTTTATATGTATATGATATATATGACGGAAAGGTCCGATGTATATTTTCCATGTACGTTAAAATATTGTTTTAAAATAGTTCCGTACGCTGTTATGTACAGAACTCACGAACTATTACCTTAAAATGTTAACGTAATGCGTACTCAGATACGAAAAATGGAAAAATGGTCTTTTTTTTATTCGTATTGGATAAATCAACGGTTTTTTTTTTTTTTTTTTTTTGTAGACATTATACAGTGATTTGTTATTAAAATTGTTAGCAATTGCTAAACATCCATTTCCTGAATTTATCTGATACCGAATGAAGAGATCTACCACGCGTGGAATACGCAAACTACATCCGAATACTGTTGAAAATAACACTTATAATTATGACCATAGTTAAGTTGGATAATAATCGACATAGATTTATTCAAATATCACATATTGAGCCAAAATGGAATTGATATAAACTATAGTGTGGCAATAAACTGAGAAAAAACAAATGCTAGCTCGTTTTAGAACATGCTTTGGATACATATTTTCGAGTAATTGTCAGCCGGGTCCACACTTGCAACATTCACGCGTAACAACACCGTATCATAACTACGTATTGTTACGTGTTACGCGCTATTGTAATGTTGGTGTTACAATGTTACGTAGTATTGCATCAGTTACCAAGCAGTATACGTTCACGCAGGATTATGCTTATCCGTGGTTCGCTGAAACAATTTATCTTATATGTATGTTATCTTTGTATTCGTATGTCATTAAGAAAAAAAAAAAATCAAAAAAAATAATAAGACGATGGCAAGCACAATTGTTCAAAAGAAGAAACAAGCCTACGACAAATAATAGCACAGTATTAACCGATATAAAATTTCAAGAAATTAATGAACAATATACAAAATTCACAAGAATGTCACTAACCAATTTCGAGTACTTGATCAATTTGATTCGTCCAAAAGAAGCCGAACAGGATACTTTTCTCTGAGAAAAGCTAGAAGTTTTCATGAAATATTATCAATAAAATTTCTCTTTTTAGCAACTGATCATAGTTGTACGAGTTAGCAATATTTTTTTAGAACATCCTGACAAGTTATAAATCAAATAATACCGTAAGTCTGTGAAGCTTAAATTTGATTTCTATTTATTTATATTTACGACAAACGGCAATTTACATGGTAAAAGTACGTGGAACATACATAAAATTAAATACGTTGATAACAGCATTAATTAACAGTATACAGTATTAGTCAATTTACTAAGAGAAAATATGACGTATTAAACGAATAAATTACAAAAAAATTTATTTTATTTTTTTAAACTAAAAATATAATATTAATCAAGATATTGAGGCTAAAAAATAAATGAATAAGCATGGAATATAATTAAAATAATATTAATTTTAAATTTTAAATGTCTTCGTCTTCAATATGTGTTGGCGGAATTGATTCTGTAGTTGGAGTAATATATGGAGATGTCAAAGTAGAAACATGGGACACATTTTTATGGTTGGAAGAATGATGATAACTATACAAAGGCTGTTCATATAGTCCATTTTCTGCATTCAGAAAAATACCCATTATTGCATTTTGAACCAAACTTTGTGTTTTAGCTGAGTACTTTCTTAATTTTTTTGCTACAAAATTTCCAAAGTCTTGTGATTCGTCGTTAATCGAATTTGCGACAGAAGCAGTTAAAAGTTCAAAAGCTTTATCCAACCGAGAGTCTTCTGTCGTTTTTCTTTTTTTTATAATTGGTTGGGACGGTGGTGGTAAAGACGAGCACGGTGAAGATGTCGGTGTGGCCAATACATCACATTCTACATTATCTGTGACTGTGTTTTCATTAATATCTATCTCTTTTTCATTCGGTATCTGTAAAAATAAAATAGTCACCTAATTAAATAATAAATTGCCAAACTAGAATTTAAAAAAAAAAAACAATTACAAAGATTTTTATTCATTTTTAATTTAATATAAATTAAATAACATAATATGAAAAAAATTAGTATTTTAATAATAATTATAACAGAAAAATTATGAATACTGTTTATTTATCAATCATGTACTCCCGAAAATTACTATTGTTGGAACCCCAGAAAGTACAACTAGTTTTCAGAGTAGTAGTTCGTCTACATAATTTCTTACGAATCTTAAATTTCTATATTTATATTATTTTAAACTATATATTCACCACCAGGAAGTATGGACCCTACTGTGAATAAAAATATGGTAAATGGTTCGTAAAGAAATGAAACCTAAGATAGTAGTACAAACTTACTACTCATATGAAACAATTTACGTAAATCGTGTCTAACAAAACAAATTCGAAAATGATTGGCCGAATATTTTATAAAGAAAGAACAAATTAATTGTTAAAATAAATATTCATGATAAATGAAATAATAAAATCAGATGCGTTAATAATTTTTACAGTAAATACTCGTGTAATAATTATTAACAATATTACACAACATAAAATATATCGTATTTTGTTTTTTAGTAAATTTGTACTTTAGTTTTAGTCAAAAAAATAAATGTGTTAAAATGCATTTAATAATTTAGATATTTTTCTCTCTTATATGTATAATAAACAAATAAATAAATAAAATTATCAGCTGAGTTACGCTGGCATCCGCAGATTAAAATAACTACTCAAAACCGGTTACAAAATTTGTCATATCATTTGTACAAATTTATAAACGCATTTTGAAAATTTGTACACCCTCCTAAAGGCTGGAAAAACACTTTTTCATTTCGGTTGCCAGCGTAATGCTACTTTAGCATCCGCATTCATAATTTTTATCTTAGATACTGAAAACCGGTACTAAAATTTGTTATATAATTTGTACGAATTTGTAAACGCATTTTGAAAATTTGTACACCCCCTAAAGGGTGAAAAAACACTTTTTCATTTCGAATGCCAGCGTAACGTTACTCCAGTATCCGCTAACTTAACCCTTAAGTGAGGTGTACAAATTTTTAAAATGCGTTTACAAATTTGTAAAAATTATATAACAAATTTTGGCACCGGTTTTGAGTATCTAATATAAAAATTAAGAATGTGGATGCTGAAGTAACGTTGCGCTGACATACGAAATGAAAAATCGATTTTCCCTGGTTTGAGTGGATGTAATCATTTTGAAATCGTAATTACAAATTTGAACAAATTACATAACAAATTTTGGTACCGGTTTTGAGTAGTTATTTTAACCTGCGGATGCCAGCGTAACTCACCTAAAATAATCTATATATAAATGTAAGATATCTATATGTTTTCACTCTGTTTTTTGTTTCGTATGTCTTAATTAGTAAAATAATTTAAAAAAATTAAACACATTATAGTATTTTACATATTTACTATTATACTACATTAGGTATATTATACTATCCTCGTTACTTTGCAATAAATGTATAACATTAAAATTAACTTAAACTAACTATTAATAACATAAAATATAAACTGTTTTATACGCACTGAACTCGTTATTTGACAAGGTGTATCCTTATCCCAAAGAAACTTCATACTGTTATAAGCATACCACGAGCTTTTGTATGTTTCATATGCGTCTATAAAAAATATAACTAATATAACAATGTTGATTTTACTTTTACATTTTACTTACCTCTTCCGCTTCTGAGGTTTTTTTTAATTTTAGATTTTTCACGCCTCATTGCTGATAGTAAACCATTAATTTTCCTTCTACATTCATCAACTGTAAAGCCAATTTCTTTAGAAACGTCTAGCCAAACATCATGCCTTATAATTTTGTTGTAGTGCTGAGGGTGTTTGGAATTCCATAGTATTTCTTTATTTCGATAAATTTCAATAAATCGAATAGTGTTTTCTTCGTTCCACTTCATATTAAAATGTTTTTTTTTTTTTTTAATACTAAACAAACGAATAATACTGAATAATATAAACGAATGATTTACGTTACGAACAACATTAATCGGCTACGTGACTCACGGGCGGCTAATGCTCAAGCATAGACCTGCATTAATGTCGAGCATTTGCGTCTCGTCGTAGTAGCATCGCCTCGCAAAAGGCGTGTACACACTCGCAACACTCACGCGTAACGTGACGCCGTATCGCAACACCATTGTCGCGTAACTGAAACATAAGGTAACGCAGAGGTGCCGTCCATACAACGAAATAAAGCTAATTAAAAAAAAAAGTCTAATTTTACAGTGCTACCGTTTTATACGGGCCAAAATATTGTACTAGCTTAGTATTATCCAATATGACATGTTCCAAGACCGTGATGCGGATGAAATTTGAAATAATATGATATAATATAGCAATAAACAATTTTCTGCGAACGTTTCATTGAATAATGCAACACGTAAAATGTGAAACATGTTAGTTGCCTATTGATAAACTATTTACCAGCAGCTTAGCTGCAGTTTAATTTTAAATAATTACAATATTAATAACAATTTAATTCAAAATTAACTTGATGGTCGGAAAATAAAAATTTATATAAAGTATATACTTTTCATTAAAATCACATATATTGCATTCTATATAAAACAATATCTGTAATATAATTTACAATACGTTCAACATTTAATGTGTAAAAAGGATTTTTAATACTAATGATAATCAGTCGCTGACATCAATAAATGTGTTTACATTTAATTTCACTATCCATTGAAAGGTGTTATTTTGTTATACCACATTCTTAACGATAGTGTTTCGTTTAATTACTATAAACTGTAATTTACTATAGTTAATATAAGTTATTGATATTGACTTAATAAATAGAATTAAATGATTTGACAATGGATTATTCTATTTTCTGGGCTAGCTGAATGTATTAGAGTTACAAAAATAATGAAAAACTTTGGATTGAAGATATAATGTGTATATAAATCGATTTTAATAGTTGTTAATACTTTTAGAAGCGTAAAATAAAATATTAAATAAATAGATAAACCGAAAACAAATCATATTTATCAACAAACTATTATCATTTTTTATATTGTTCAACGCGATCTAGCAAAGTGTTACGTAGTTGAAATACTAATTTTTCTTGAGATTTGCGATATATACAGTCATTATGGAAAATAGCAACTCTATATTACTCCATGAACTACAACAACGGCATATAACACGAACACGTAACAAGACAGCAAACAAGATGATACGCGTCGATTTTTACACCGCTTATCATCGATTGTCGGTTTTTTCGTCCGCATCAAAATATGTTACGCCTCAATCAGTGTTATTCCTGAAGTCACCCGTTTCCTCCAGAATCATACCTTCCCCTTTTTCGTCAATTCACTTTTCTGCCATATGAAAAAAGTTAGTCTAGTAATATTCAACTGTCGATAAAATCCTATACCGTAAGAATTGTGATGATAAAATAGGATAAGAAAAATAATTTAAAGTTATATAACATTTAAATCATTTATATATATTTTAAATAAATTGCTTTAAAAATATATAAGAGCATATTATAAGGTTTTTAAGTGGGTAATTTTTAAGTTTTTTTTTTAATGTTTTTTTTATAGTTTCAAGTTCTCTACTAATACTGCTAGTTACTAATACTAGTCCATTACAAGTAACTTACTTTAAGCTATGGTATTTATATTTACCACTACTTTTTACACAATAAATATCAATCACTTATTTTGATTATTGTATATGTTCAAACTTATACAATATTCGTCAGTTGAAAATTATTTTTCAGTCGTAAGATATTTATATATATATATATATATATATATATATCCGCCATTTTAATTTGATTTTTAAATAATATGACATTTATATATGTAAAAAAAAAAAAAGTAATTCATGTAAAATAAAAATAAAATTAATGAGATCTTGGAATTTTTTCGTATATACCTATATATGTTTAATGTGTTGAGCTAATGTAGACAGAATATTTCAATATTTCAATCAAATACTAGATTACGTTTTTCATTTGGCGGAAAAGGAAAAGGTATGATTTTGGCGGAAGAAGGAATCAACCAATTTACTATTTGGCGGAAAAGTGAATCGGCGGAAAAAGGAAAGGTACACTTTTAACGGAAACCGACCATGCCCTTTAGTTTAGACCTTCTATCCCTAGGGCATCGTAAATTGGGGGGTATGTGGTATATGGTATGCCATAAAAGTAAATAATTAACAAATAAATCAATTTTGGGGGGGGTTAATATCCCAAGTCATCCCTTCTAAAATAAACACTGGTCTCAATGTATAATAATACGGGGTGAATATTGCCAGTTGTTAAAAAAAAAAATGCCAACTAGGGTCGTCGCAATATCGTCCCGTATCAATGTTGCACGATACGCGATGATGTTTCAAGTTTTTTAAGCCACGCTTGCAATATTCGCACGTAACACAACATCGTATCTTAACTTTGTTCTGTTACGTGTAACGTGTTACGAACTCTTGCTGTGGTGGTGTTGCGATGTTGCGTAACGTTCCATCAGTTACTAAGTAGTGTACTTTCACGGAGGACAACACTTACCCGTGGTTCTCTGTAGTGGTTATAGATTTATTTATTTTATTTTTTTCTGAATAATATAAATGAAACGAACAATACTGAATTATAATGTTGCAAACGAATGACTTAAGTTAAAAACAATATTTATCGACTAGTGATCAGGTCTAAACCTGTGTTAATATTGCACAACTGTGTCTACACTTGGCTTAACATTGCCTCGTATTATCCTTTGATGCGGACACTTTTTACCGACAACTGACGGGACACAGTGTAACTCCATCACGTATAATTTTTTGTTACGCATTCACGTCCAAACATATGTTACAATTACACGGCGAAGTTACTATACTAAGGTTCACAGATCAAACAAAAATAAACATATAAATTTGTAGTTCAAATATCTATAAGCTAATACAAGAACACATTATTATTTAACCATAATATAAAATTATATAATGTACAATATTATTCTATGTTTTATTATTGAATAATTTAATAATAAATGTTTTTTTTCCTCTCAGATTCTAATAACCGGTCCCGGTCAAATCGGGACGAATGGCAAGCCTATATATTATATAGTGTTGCGATACCTACGCGTTTCTTCCTAAATGTAAACGTTCTATACGGAAAAATATACTTATACTTGGATGTCACTGAGGCAAACACGTTTTCCTTTCTCTTTTTCCCCCCTGAGATCGAATATCATTCGCACAACAGATTTCTTTTTGTCATTTATATAAATATATATATAATATTTATGAATAGTAAATAGTTAATGGATTTTGGTCGAAAGCCATTATTGCGAACGCGTGGCTTTGTCGAAAGTCTAAATGGGGACAATCCCGTATGATATTTCAGCAATCGTGTCACGGCGAGGACGGCCAAGTACAATGAGGAGCGTAAGCATATACATGTACACACATACATACGCACACATGCACTTATTTACTGCGCACACATTTATGTATATTATATACATTGAAAAAAAAAATGAATATACGTATTTTGTAAGGCAAAATACACGGTCTAGATGATGGTCAAGGGATTTTGTCCGTCACTACAAACGATTAGACTGTTGTATCTTTACGGTATTCGTAAAATTATCTTTTATCTATCTTTATTTTTACCGATCATGATTGAAGATCGCGGGTGAAATACGACACACGTAATTCAGCGTACACGAAAATCCGAATACGTTTTCTAGCCGTCTTACTTACTCATGTGATATGCACGTATACGCGAGTAATACTATGTATATTATCGGCATGTTTTTATAAAATGTACACCCAGACACGAATCAAGAATGAGCGACATGAGACCTAGACACCCCCCAGAAGTTTTCCCATGCCTTCCCGTTAGAATGGAAATCCTTGTTAAGTTGAATGTAAATAAAATACTTTTGAAACTTTTGATTCGGTAGGTAGGCAATTAAAGACAAAAGGTTTTGTTAATCTTAAATATACGAAAAATTACTTACTATCATTAAAGGACCGAATTTTTGGCGTAGATAATGAAATCGGTGCTGTTGCTAGAGAGCCTCACCCACCAAAATAAAATTCCCTCTACGTATTTGCGTGTACACAGTCAAAAGCGTTTCCATCTCAAAATAGTCGAATTATAGGACGTTGTATTAGTACGACATTTTCCTTCTTCGTTCATCGCAACAATACGGCTGACATTTATTTCCACGGACAACTACGCATGGCGTGCCTTTTCCCCCCACGCTCGATCCCGATAATAATAATAGTATATCTGCTGTACGACGTCTCAAATCGTAGGGGACATCTCGCAAGTGTTGTCCGGTCCGTGAAATACGTGTGGGCTTAAAAAGTAAAACGCCATTCGACGAGTGTATAATATGATATATTGTACCGAACGCATATCAACACTATCAATTGCATTACGAGCTACGTAGGCCGTGAAACGGAGTGGTGAGTCTCCCGGCACGTGCGAAAAACGTCGTTAAACGTACGATGAGACCATATGTGCAACTCGAGCCCAAATATTAGGGGTGCTGAAATTGCTGAAAATAAAATAAAATGGTATTTAACTGTATTATATAGATCTGAAAAGAAAACAGTAGTGCTACATTTGAACTCAGGAATGCTAAAAATCCTATTGCGCCCCCTAGTTGCGCCTATGGATGAGATCAGTGATACAGATATACCCTTCAATGCCATTCGTTGTAAAATATACTCGTGTTAAATGATAAATAAACAATTTAAAACTGCCTTTCAAAATTATTTCGTCTTAAGGAATTGCAGTGTATATCAACGAGTAGACGCATGTTACATGTCAGACGCGGGTTAACGAGGATTATGGGTGCCCCGACACCTTCTGTGACCCCAAGACACCGGTTAAATACGTTAATCATAAATTACGTTAAATAGTTATTTTTTAAATGTTTAATAAAAGAAAATGATTTGAAAATCAAGGATCCATTTTTACCGCACAGAAAATATTTTTCTCTCTTTTGCGTATAAAAGCGTATTTAAGATCATAAATTGGAAAAATGATCTTGGATGTATTTTTTTATCGATAAGACAAAAAAGGTTATACAAACTTAATAGCCATATTCCTTAATAATTATTGGGAAATTGAAATCATTCGATAAATAGGTAATGAAAAATTAATGAAAAACACTCCAAATATGTACAGAATAATATATGTAAAAATTAGTTATTTTTATGTTAATTATTAATAAATAAATTACTATACTTTGCAACGATAAATTCTAAAATAGAAAGAAATAGCCACTTTTTTCAATTTAAATTAAAAAAATATGTGAAATATTTCATAATAAGTGCAAACATTTTCTTCTTCAATGAAGATAAATCACCCATGGTTGTAACACTCTAACTATTTTTCCATAATGATTTATACTCCTAAACTATTTAAAATTACTTAACTAATTGCATTTTTCCCGCGACTAGAATTATTTTTAGAATTATTTTTTATACATTAAATTCGTTTTTGGAATTCTTAACAGACAAATAAACAATGACTAAATAACAAACACAATAAATAAATAAAGATAAAATATAAAATGTTTTAATAAATGTTTTGATGTTTTTAAACGAATACTTGTGTAATTTAATATTTAATATCATTAATGTAAACATTATGTTGTTGGAATTGATAAATTGTTTCAAAAGTGTATAACATTCGTTTTATCAAGTTAATGTTCTTACAGTCGAAAATAAAGAGGATTATTTAAAACACAAATATTAATAAGAGAAAAGAAGTAAAATTATTATTTAATAATTAACATGTAGATATTATTTTTCGGCATAAACGTACACCGGTACCTATACGCATTGCAAGGGGATACTTTGAACTTATATCTTTTATTCCGGTATAATTTATAATATATATACACTCGACAGGAACCTTCGAAGGAGTTGCACCCCGATCTTGCTCATTCATAAGATGCAGATAATGATACGTTGTCGTTTTTCTTTAGTCTTACTCGTTCCTATCGATGTAGTACACGACTGCAGGACGTAGGTACGCAACTATAGGTAATACAAAACCTATAAAGTTATTAATCGATTGCAGAATGGAATAAACGACCCAGTTGAACGGAAAGTATACGTCTTGGCCCGTAGGGAGACCGTGAAGGTGTATGCATAACGTTCGAGACTTAAGAGGGACGTACTATATTATTGGTATGCCCACCTAAGTACCGCGATCATGCGACCGTACGGTTCACCATCAGCCGTCTATAACACTGCCAATGCGTCGCAGAAAAAGGACAACGAACACGGTACGTGGGTGCTAGTAATGAACAGGAATAAAAAATGTAGGCCGCAAACGGAACGCGAACCGATAAAGAATTGGGATGGGTGGACGGACGACGTCCTGCCGGTAGTTAGATGTATACTGGCGCGAGTGATTGATGATAACAAGTGACGGCGGTTTGCCGATCAGACGACAATGGGCAGCTGCAGCTTTTAAGACGACGGTGATGCGCGTTCGAGGCGCGTACAGGGCCGTAGTAACCAAATATTGCGCCCGGTGCGAAACTTCAAAATGCGTCCTTAAGTATTTATAAAAAAAACTCACAAATAACCTGAATATTTTTTTAAACGCAATATAAATAATGATCTTTCTTTATGATTATGTAAGCGTTTGCTAATTTTATTTAAATCAATAATTTATTAAAACAAAAATATACATTATAATAACAAGTAGGTACATAGGTATAACATAATTATATTTATAAGTTATATAAGTAAATACATAGATACATAATATTAATTTTACTTATGAGTAATAAGTTATAACTTACAACACTTAAATTGCAAATTTTTCATTTTTGCGCCCTCCCAGGAATTGCGCCCGGGCCGTAGGCACTTCTGTCCCTCCCCGTCGCTACGACCTTGGACACGTGGCTCGAGTGGTTTCTGCACACATGGTTCCTGTGGTGTGTTTCGGTTATCGTGGTCCTCCCTGTGAACATCGGTGAACAGATTTCCTCAAATCCTCTTGCTCTCGGCGTGATGGACGCGCTCGGTTGGTATAGGGAACAGATGAGTACGAATCTGCGGATCCATATAACTTGATGGTTAAGCCTGCCGATTATGGTAGGGTGTGGAGAGGTGATAAGGTGTGATCATCGATAAGATGATCGGAATATGACGGTTATCCTGCGCGTCCACTTCGAACGATGTCGATCTCTATCGGGCAACAGCCGATCTTGACGGGCATTGTTGGGTATGTATCAATTGCATGGAAAATCGTAAGTAGAGAATAACAAATTATGTGATAGAAAAATAGATACTTCAAATGCGCCGATCGATGTTCCAGTAGAATACCATTTGCGTCAGTTACAATCAATTGCGCCGATCGATTCTCCACCAGTGGCGCAACTATCGGGTAAGTTAGCAAAGTGAAACTTTGGGGACCCTAATTTATCGGGGTGGATTTTTATCAAGCGGCTAATCGGTGGATAATCAATAAAAATTGGTTTTTCCCTGTATTTTTTTATTAACATCTACGTATAGCTTAAAATTAAATATTTATGCTATAGTTATATTGCAGTGGCGTAGCCAAGGGGGGGGGGGGCTAAGGGGGCTATAGCCCCCCCATGGACCGTGTTTATACGTATAATGTATCTTGACTATTTAATAGAATCAATGGATGCTCGTTTTAATCAAAGGCTTATTGATGTTATGCCACTTGAAGGACTTATTCCGGCCAATTTAAATATGTATGACGATAAAAATATTATAAAAACTGCTAAAATATATGTCCAAGATCTCCATGATGATACCTCATCTACAATCAGAGCTAACCTGTTCATATGGAGGCAACAATGGAGTCAAAATCCTATTCCAAAACCGAATTCTGCTTTTGATTCACTCTCTCATCACACCAATCTTTGACCTAACATTAAAATACTTTTACAATTATTCACCACGTTACCAGTTACCTTTTTCACTCCGGAAAGAACGTTTTCAGCACTTAATCGCTTAAAAATTTTTTTTAGAAGCACCATGTCGGAAAACGGACTGAATGGGTTAACTATGGCTAATATAAATAAAAAAGAGCAATTCGATGAAAGTGAAATAATAACTGAATTTGCCAGAAATTCGCCTAAGAGGATGCAGCTATCAGAGTGGAGCAAGTGACTGAACACTGAAACCAAAATTATTATTATTATTATTATAAATTATATATTAATATATTAATAAATATTTTTAAAACTATACTAAAATGCTTGAATTACGTTTAGAAACTTGGTGGTAGACGGTGAGAGTGGGGGGTTAAGGCTGAATTCTCATATCCTCTCTTACCATATTTATCCAAAAAAGTAGTTAGCCCCCCCCCCATTTAAAAATCCTGGCTACGCCACTGTTATATTGTTATTGTTTTTACGAATTATTGATTTCATAATATTATAAAATTATAATCATGACTAAATAATAAATGGAGACTTTATAGAATTGCTTTTAATTTTACAAAAATTATTAAGGATGCAATGGTTTTGATTACCTTATGGGAGGGGAAAAAGCGGTGTACCTATGATTTTTTTAAGACCATTTACATTTTTGGTTAGAGGACTCCATTTTATATTTGATTTAAGGCACCCAAGTATCTGGTTACGTCAGTGTTCTCTACCGAATCTTTGGACATTGTGTAACACAGAGTGGTCCAACCCGCGGTTCTCGAAGCCTTTTTTTTTTGGATCTCTTCCATAGTAAACTTCTATTAGCTCAGTAATTTTTGTAATATATTAACTCCGGTTAAACGATTGTAAATTACATAAAAAATGAACAAAAAAGATAAAATGTAATTATATTAACTATATATGTATATAAACTAAAACTATAGAAAATTTAAATTAACTCAAAAGATTTTTGTATTTAATTTAATCATTATAAAAAATACAAGTACTTTGGCACAATTTATGAACACTTTTTTAGGAACCGACGCAATAGATTATTATATAATATATATAAATAATTATTATACTATACAGGTACCTAGTGTCCCAAATTTAACACTGTTAACGAACACCGCCATTGTTATCCCGGTCCTGCAGAATGGGACACAAAACTGCAA